ATCAAGAATCTTCATGTCAGTGCAGTTTTTCAAGAAAGGAACTTCACCTGAAAAGTTGTTTCTAGAGAGGAAGAAGACTCTGAGTGAAGTAAGAGAGCCTAAGGATCTTGGGATTGTACCAGAGAGATTGTTGTTTGACATGTCTACAATATACAACGATGGTATATTGTTCCAAAAATGAGGAATGCTTCCACTCAAAGAGTTCCTAGAAATGTCTAGATGTGTCAAATTGGGCAGCACTTGACTAATGTTATGAGGAATTGGCCCTGAAAATAGATTGTCTCTAAGAAACAGCATGGTAATGTTTGAGGACCAGAGTGGGAGTGGGCCCTCATAGCGGTTTGAACTCAAATCAACAACGGAATAAAAGCTAAATCTTAATGAATTGGGCATCGTGCCGCTTAGTTGATTATAAGAGACATCTAGATAATCTAATTGCAAATCCAACTGCAAAAACCAATCTAGTATGGTGTTTGAAATCCTAGCATTATTGAGTGCCACCGTGGTCAACTCAGTCTGATTTCTAAGCCATGTAGGAAATTTGGGACCTAGTTGGCATGATCTAATGTACAAGGATCTTAATTTGAAAGGAGGTATCCAATCAGAACTTATGTTGAAAACCAAGCAAATGTTTGGGGATGAATTGTTTTCAATTGATACTCTTCTCAGGCCTCCAAGTTTCGCGAAATGAGCTTCTATAATGGCACCTTCCCATGTGTTGCCATAGATATCAAGTGAAACCAACGATAAAAGCTCCCCAAGACTTTCTGGGATGATCCCACTCATTTGATTCCATGCAAGGTCAAACTCCTCCAAAGATGTTAAATTTTCAATCGATTTTGGGATTGAACCCTAAAACAAGTTATACGACAAGTCGACGTATCTCAAGCTTTTAAGATATCCCAAAGCATCAGGCAATTTTCCTGTCAGATTGTTATCTGTCAAATCCGACATCTCTAGTTTAGTGAGATTGAACAACCAAGGAGGTATTGTGGAGGTGAATTTATTGTTAGAGAGATCAAGAACTAAAAGGGATGTGAAATTGATGGAAGGAAGAGTGAGAGTGTTTGGGGGTGGTCAAAATTCACCCAATTTGCCAAGGAAGAATTCCAAGAGGCCAAGAATTCCTAGCGGCCGGAGAATCCCTAGCGGGCGAGAATTCCTAGCGGCCGAGATTTCTTAGCGGCCTGAGAATTCCTAGCGGCCGAGAATTCCTAGCGGCCGAAGAATTCCTAGCGACCGAGAATTTCTAGCAGTCGAAGAATTCCTAACGGCCGAGAATTCCTAGCGGCCGAAGTGCTTTCCCAAAAAGGTGGCCAAGGTCTTTTCTTTAAAGGCCATGGTGCCTTCTCAAAAATGCGGCCGAGGTGTTTTCTTCAAAGGCCGTGGTGCCTTCTCAAAAATATGGTCAGTCGTTTCCCTTTGCAAAAGTGGTCAGCCATATCCTTGCAAAAGTAGCCTGACATATCCTTACAAAAGTGGCCGAATGCTTCCTTCTCAAAAAGTTGGGTCGGGCACTCCTAGAATACCTTGGTCGGCCACTCCTCTTACAAAAAGCTGGGCTAGGGTGAATTTTCTCCTTGCGCCCCTTGGTGCCCTCCTCTCAACACTTGGGCAAGCGAAGTCGGGCCGGGGGAGTTGAAGTTCGGCGGGAGGTATCTTCGTCGAGTTCCCAATATTCGAATATTTGAATATGGTCCAACGTAGGGCCAAGCCCAACATCCAAATATTTGGAGCTCCCATACCACCCACCTTGGCGAAGGGTTGGCAGATGGTCAACCAACTCTATAATTCTAAAAACTCAAGGAGCACGAGGTTCAACCAAATGTCAAGATGAAATCTCAGAGGTCAAGGCCCAAGCCACGAATTCACGCCCAAGATGCATGTGATGGAGGCCTCACAAGGAAACAAATCAAGCAGATTGATGATAGTTCAGCATATTCCAAAACATGAGATAATCAAGCAATCAGAATATTTCCACCAAAGTGATCCCAAGAATTTAAGCGGCTTCAAAAGGAAAGAGTTTTAAAAGAGTTGACCTTTGGCCATTCAATGGCCAGCCCATGGGCTAACGGAAGCCCTATATAAACCTCACCAAACGAAGGATTTTAAAAACACATGGACAGACAAACCTATTTTTCATCTCGCACTTTTCTTTTCCTAGACTTAGGATTTTACTTTTCATGCACCTAGTGTAGTGAGTTCTTCCTTTTCTTAGTATAAGTTTAAATTCTCGTTCAATTTATATTTTCTTGTCATTTAAATTCAAGTTTATTTCAATTGCTTTACTTTTCATTGTTATCGCACTTCAATTAAGTTTAATTTCAAGTTCATTTTACTTTATTGGTCTTATTGCTTTCATTTCGTTCTTGCTTTATTTATCGCTTTAATTCACTTTATCGCACTTTAATTCTCGTCTTTATGCTATTTATCTTTCGCACTTTACTTTACACATTTGTCCTTAAATTACATTTAAGTTTAAGCACCTTTACTTTACGCACTTATTCTTCATTTCATTACGTTTCACCTTCAATCTTCATCTCCACCCACTCCATATCATTTGGTTTCTCACATAAAGCCTTGACCCCGAGGTAGTGAAAGAACCTAGGCCGTGAGGAGGTTCCTTGCTCGGCTGAACAATTGTTTGATTAAAATCAGATCTCAGACACAATACATCCATCTACTCACATTCCATTCATGCCCAAATTCGGGGCTTGGTGGTGGCACGCCCAGCACTCAAAAAAGAAGAAGGACCAAAATTTCCTTCCGTCGGCTACCCCGGCCGAAAATAGGGAAACAGAGAGGAAGCATGGGAGGTTTACAAGAGGGCAAATGCAATTCAACAAGTGAAGGGGGCATATTAACCGTGGGAAGCCAATAGGATGTAGCCTTAGCAAGGTTCACTCCTTCCAAGTTAAGGTACTTTAAGGAAGAAAAAGTTGCAAGCCATTGAAGGTTAGTCTCAATTGGGTGACCAAAGTCGTTACCAAGATCAAGATAAAGCAACCTTGAGAGATTTCCAAGATTGAGGGGAATGATTCCACCAAAAGATGCACTAGAGAGATTGAGGTATTTCAGTTTCTCTAGTGATCCAATGAAACTTGGAAGTTGGACACCTCCAAAGTTATTCATGCTCAAATCCAAGTAAACCAAATCTTTCAAAAAAAGCAAAGAAGGGTTGATCTCACCACCAAATGCATGATCTGTTGCTTCGTCAACATACCCATCGTGATTGCGAAGATCAAGCATGTTGACACGTCTAGTTATGTTGTTGCAGCCTACACCACTCCATTTGCAGCAATCTTCTCCCACCCAAGACGAAAGCCGGTCGGAAGGATCTGTGAGGCCTTGTTTGAGCTTGAGAAGGGCTTTCCTCTCTATATCTATGCATCCCACATTATGATCAACACTGCAGAAACCAAGTTGAATGGTTTTAAGGGATAAAATTCCTGGCAGTATAAATAGTGAGGCAAGTTGGATGGAAGCACTGCAGCAACCTATAATTCTTATGCAATGGGATGATACGGACATGCCTTGTATATATAGGAATCAATGATAATTCAGATGGTTGAGCTTTCGTACTCTTTGAATAGTTTGTAATTATGCAAAGACTTCCAAGTCAATTTGAGTTGCGGGGTAAATGGTTCAACCCCATCAGCCAGATGACTTTTGTAAAAGCATGAAGTAAAATGAGTCATTATCACTGTAGGCAGCATTCCAGGCATATTGCATTCTCCAAAGTTGTTTTATGCAGTTCCCATGTATTAAGGAGCTTGATTGATTCTTGTCTGGTGCATAAGTCAGTGTCCCTGTTTCCTCACACGTATTATAAAACCTCTTGTATCCTCTTGTATCAAATTAATTCAATACAAATAGATTATTTTAAGGTGAAAGTAGCAATTTCAATCAAAAGAATACTTGCGTTGCATATCTTTCAAATAAACTATTAGAGGTCCTGCTATATTCTTCTTCTTTTTTATTATTATTATTTTTAAATTCTCAAATGCTACAACTTTCATATAAGTTTTTTTATAAAAAAAAAGACTAAGTTGCACTGACACGGCAATAAGGTGGAGTGTACGCGTGTCCTCTGACACTCGGACAAGGCGCAGACACGCGTTGGACATGATCAATGCCTTGGACACGTTCAAGACACTCCTGCGTCAAACTATGGTCAAGACACGGCTTGGAAATTCTTGAAAAAAATTCTGAGTTGCAGAGGAGGCTTTGTGTGTAGGAATCAACACGTGTGCTGCTGCATCTTTTTCTTTAAAACGGTAGGCCTTACTTGCTTGATTCTGGAGATGAAATTGAGTAGAATTTCTTAATTGTATTGCAAATGCCATGATATTTGCAGCCTTGCATTTTGGTAATGGAAATGTAAGAGGTACTTCAATGTGTCATTTTGAATCCAATTACCAATTGGTTAGTCCTATTTTGCAATTATTGTATCCATATTGCCATGTTATTGTATTGCAAATGCCATATGTGATTTGAGAACATATGTGATTTGTCAATGCAATTGACAAACAGTTACTTCTAATTGCATTATATTCTTGTAATTGACAAACAGTTACTTCTAATTGTATTATAGTCTTGCAATTGACAAACAGAACAGTCTCTTTGCATTCTTGTCTCGCAATTGCCATTATATGTGCACAATTATGAAATGTAGAATCTCTCAGTAAGGACTAATCCTTCATAATTTAATTGTATGTTTATATTTCTACTGAATGCAATTGATGTGTATCCATTTATTTTCATATTAATTATGCCATGAAAGACATGTTGCCTATTTTCAGGAAATGGATGCAAAAGCAAGTAAAACGAATGGAATTCAAGGCCAAAACTCTGTACCTAACAGTGAAGGTTATTTTGCAGAGGCTGAGTCACTTGAAGAAACTGAAAATGTCCCATCTTTACAGATTTTGGACAGTTGAACAGAAGAAAGTACTAAGAAAAGCAGACAGTTTGAGTATGATGGGTTAAACTTCCAAAATATGAGCATTGCTGATTTAGCGGAGAGAGAGTTTGCAAAATTTGAGGAAGCAGAAAGATTTTACTGCAACTATGCTCTTGCAATTGGTTTTAGCATAAGAAGAAGTCGTTTGAGATGTAGCGAGGGTGGGGTTGTGATGGGAAGACAATGGGTGTGCTCAAAAGAGGGGAGTAGATCAAAGAAATGGACGAATAGAGATGATATGGTTCGTACACCAAGGAAAGAGACTAGAGAGAATTGTCACGCTACATTTGCTGTGAAGTATTGTCCTAAACGGGATGCTTATATTGTGACTAAATTTGTAAATGAGCACAGCCACCGACTTGCTAACTCACGTGATGTGCCTTTTCTTCGTTCACACCGATATGTTACGGAATCTAACATAGCACAATCTATGTCTATGAGAAAAGCCTCTATTAAAACCAATCGGACATACGACTATATGGTTGACCAAGCAGGTGGATACATGAAAGTAGGGTTCACTAGTAAGGATCTATATAACATGATAGATTTCGAGCGTCAACAAGTGGTATTGGATGGTGATGCACAAGCAGCAATAAGCTACATGAATGCCAAGGTAATAGCTGACCCATAATGTTTTTGCATGTTTAGTGTAGATGAGGAGAATAGATTGGCAAATTTGTTTTGGAGAGACTCTCAATCTCTACACGATTATTGTTGCTTTGGGGATGTGGTGATATTTGATAGCACGTACAAAACCAACGTATATGACAAGCCTTTAGGGGTGTTTGTTGGTGTAAACAACCATAACGCGACTATAGTTTTTGCTTGTGCATTTCTTGTTGATGAGACTGCTGATACGTATCGTTAGGTACTCAGAACTTTTTTGACTTCTATGAAGGACAAGAAGCCTGTATCTATTGTCACGGACGAGGATGAGGCAATGCGCGTAGCAATTGATGAAGTTTTTCCCGATGCACATCATCGTTTATGTACACGGCACATCATGAGGAATGTGAACACCAATGTGAATAACATTGGCAACAAATGATAGATACATATGATCTAAAAGGCGATTGGATCAAGATGATGTACCGTAAACGAAAATGATGGGCTGAAGCGTACTGCTCGGGGTAATTTTTTGGTGGGAATACCACCACACAACGTGTCGAGGGTATGCATAAGAACTTGAAGGATGGAATTGGTAGAGGCATGAAGTTAGTAAAGTGTATTCCACGGATTGAAAGATCATTATTGAGGTTGAGAAATGAGAATGTGAAGGATGACTTTGATTCCAACAATTCACACCCATTCCTTCGTACGCACCTCCGATCACTAAAGGAACATGCAGCTTCTATTTTCACTCACGACATTTACAAGTTGATAAGAAATGAGATAAACAAGGAGGCAAAATTAATTCTCATGCAACCTGTAAGAAACAATGAAGATCCTCTTGTTTACACATTTTCCAAATTTGGAAGACCCGATGACAAATGGACTGTAGTGTACTACAAGAAAGAGCAACATATGCAGTGTTCGTGCAAATTATTTGAATCCAGTGGAATTCCATGTTGTCATATGTTTGGAGTCATGAAATGTGATCATATGGATCAAATACTTCCGACCTTAATAATGAAGGGATGGACAAAGGATGCAAGACGTAGGAGTGAATTTGTAGTCAAGTCGGATGATGTTCCCAACGAAACTATTCAAATAGCTAGGTTTAGGTCATTAAGGGCTGATTTTAACAAGCTTTGTTTTTATGGATCACAGACAAAAGTAGTTTACAAGAGGTTGAAGGCTGAATTTGGGAAATTAAATACTTTGGTTGAGACATGGAAGAAGCAACATGAGCAAACTAGTCTTAATCTAGGATGCCATAATAATGTTGTAAGAGACCCCATAGTTGCTAAGACAAAAGGAATGCAAACAACGGGAAGCAAAGGCAAAAAGGCCCCACAATGCGGAGAGTGCAAGGTTACTAGTCACAACAAAAGAAACTGTCCAAATCACATTGTTGGTGAGAGCGTTAAGCGGAAAAGGGGTTATACAAGTGACAGGAGTGATATTCTTTCTAGTTTTGGACCAGAAGATGATACAACTGTTGGGAACAAAACATTTTATTCCTCCTCGAGTGCTGTTCATGGGACTAAGACGTTGTCCTCTTCTTGTACAACCCCTAACTCGGGCTTCTCATATGGCGAAGTGTCTAGTGGCTCCACTCGTTACACCTCTGATGGTTTCACCTTTGAGACACCCGAGTATAGTGTATTGGACTCACAATTTGACACACAAGCCTCGCCACCTAAAGATCATAATAGATTTTGGGTTCCATTCACCTCAATAAAATGACATGGATTGTAGTACTTCCACTTGAAGCCACTTGCTTTAACTCGACCATTGACTGATGTGGATTGGTTGCTGCGGGCATTTCGCTGGTTATCTGCCCCAGATGTGAGGGAAACATCCCACAACTTGGAGCAGTTTAGGACAACACTCCGATATACCAGTACTGATCAAGTGAATTGACATCCGTGGGGAATCAATGATGCGAACCTACATGATTATGTGAAAAAAAAAGCATTCCTATGACAAAACAAAAGATTATACTACAAGGACCAGCCCCATGCTTGGTATTTAGGAGAAAGGGTATCTGTGCAAAGCCTGGGTACATCAGAGCCGCGAGTCCCAAAAAGACCCCCTAGAACCATGCTTAAAGACATGAAAGTACTTGCTTCGGACAAAGAAATCAAAGCATCACTTAATGGCTTTAATGCAGAGGACTGGTTGGTTGAATCCACTGATTATTGACTCTTTCGAAATGAGTATGTCATATATAAGCATTATCCAACTATCATCAATAATGTAAGTTTTACCTTTGATAATGGTCCTTCGTAATATAGTTTTGCATTATGCAAAAAAATATTTAATCCATATCACATCACTATGCAGAGTGCAGAAAGGTGTGTGCTCTGTTGGTCTGAAATTTCAAGCTAGTGAAATTAAAATTCCTTCATGGAGTGTTCAAGTGGTGGGATGGGGGGACGCAGATGATTGTGAAGTGTTGGATATCCCAAGAGGCAAGTCTAGCACGTGCCTACCACTCCCGGAGGATGTGAAATATGTAAGTTTGAGGTTAAGGATTGGATTTAAATGTTGAAATCAAAACTACACGAATATATTAACTTTGTTTACACATAACTTGTTTGTACTATAGGTAAGTGCATCGATAGCAACACAATTATTGGATATGATTAGTGGCCTAAATTCCTTGCTCTTCACTAAATGCATGGCTGCTAGGACAATCATAAGCGAGCTTCGACAAGTATTGTTGGATTGAATTGCTTGTAGGAGTTTTTCCAAATTAATGCAATATGAATTCAAACTCCACTCGTTATATTGTGGCAAATATGCGTGATATAATCGCAAATGCAGTGCCTTTAATTAGAATTATATGCAGAGGACTGATAATTTATGTGAATTGGGTTTGTAAGCATAAAAATATATATGTTCATGCTTATGTGGATGCAATGCAAGAGAGTAGTTATGATGGTTATGTGCCATACTTGTTATTTTATTTTAAGTTAAAGATTAGGCGACATATTTATAATTGCAGTAATCATCAAAGGTTATGACTTTGGTTTTGTAGGGGACGCACACTCAACACAACCATAACCCCCTTGCTAGAAAAGAAATTGCTGATGCGGAAGATGAAAATAAAATTGATGATGAGGGTGATGAGGAGGATGAGGAGAACGATAATGATTTTGAGACATCATGTGAGGATGGTGAGGAGGATGAGAAGGATGAGGAGAATGATAATGATTTTGAGACATCATGTGAGGATGGTGAGGAGGATGAGGAGGATGAGGAAAACGTGGAGGATGAGGAGGTAGAGGAAAACGGGGACTAGGACGAAAATGACCCGGAAAAAATTGTGAACATAAGTGAGATTATATATTTTGTGGTAGATGTTAACTAGTAGCTTATGTAACTTGTTTGATGCTACAAACTTATTATATAATGATGTCAAATATGATCGTCTATTGTTGTCTGTGAATGGATTGAATGAGTTAATTTGAAAGGAAGTGACCATAAGATGGAAAGGGCACTGATAGGTTGCCTCGCCTAGGAGGAAAAGGAAATAATTCAATTGACAAACAGTGCGTTGGAAATTGAACAAGCATAATGCAATTGACAAACAGTGAGTTGGAAATTGAACAAGAATAATGCAATTGACAAACCGTAAGTTTGAAATTGCAAACGTGCATGCATGCCTTTTTTCTTCACTTTTGGCTTGGTTTTCCACAGGATTTCACTTCCCATTCGAAATAGTTTTGTAACCCCAAAGCTTATGTAACTTGTTTGATGCTACAAACTTATTATATAATGATGTCAAATATGATTGTTTATTGTTGTCTGTGAATGGATTGAATGAGTTCATTTGAAAGGAAGTGACCATAAGATGGAAAGGGCACCAATCGATTGGCTCGCCTAGGAGGAAAAGGAAAAAATTCAATTGACAAACAGTGAGTTGGAAATTGAACAAGAATAATGCAATTGACAAACCGTCTGTTTGAAATTGCAAATGTGCATGCATGCCTATTTTCTTAACTTTTGGGTTGGTTTTCCACAGGATTTCACTTCCCATTCGAAATAGTTTTGTAACCATAAAGTTTATATATATATATATATATTTTGTTAAAAACATGCGATTTTTGTCCTGTGTTAATATTTTGTAAACATCAATTTAATTTATAATTAAATATAAAAAAATAAACGTATAAAGCGAAGGTGGGACAATAGAGAAGTAAATTACGTCCTTATCCTTGAAAACAAAAGGGTTTACAATAGGAATGACTCGTATTACACTGTTGGACATTTGTGTTCCATTATATTATAAAATCAATTCTTAATCGTGTAATATCGTAATTTACAAAAAAAAGGACATGTAGTACAATATTAAGGTAAAGTGGAACATTCGGAAGTTAAATTAGGTCCCTAAACTTGTAAACACGGATGTTTACAATATTAAGGTCTCATATTACTTTGTTTTGGACAGCTGTGTTCCATAGAATTGTAAAACCCATCCGTAATCTTGTAATATCGTAATTTACAAGGATAAAGACATCTAGTACAATATTAAGGTAACTAGGGACATTAGGAAAGTAAATTGGGTCTTTATACGTGTAACACAAATGTTTACAATATTAAGGTCTCGTATTACTCTGCTTAGGACAGTCATGTTCCACAAAATTGTAAAATTCACCCTTAATCTTGTAATATCGTAATTTATAATTGTAAAGATATATAGTATAATATTAAGGTAAAGTGGAAAATTCAGAAGTTAAATTGGGTCATTATACTTGTAAACACAAATATTTACAATATTAAGGTCCTGTATTACTCGGTTTTGGATAGTTATGTTCCAGAAGATTGTAAAACTCATCCTTAATCTTGTAATATCGTAATTTACAAAGATAAAGACATGTAGTACAATATTAGGGTTGGGTCCTTATACTTGTTAACACGGATGTTTACAATATTAAGGTCTCGTATTACTCTTTTGGGATATAGTCATGTTCCAGAAGATTGTAAAACCCATCCATAATCTTGTAATATCGTAATTTACAAAGAGAAGGACATCTAGTACAATATTAAAGTAACTAGGGATATTAGGAAAGTAAATTGGGTCCTTATATATGTAAACACAAATGTTTACAATATTAAGGTCTCGTATTGCTCTGGTTTGGACATTTATGTTGCATAAGATTGTAAAATTCATCCAGTCAATTGTAATATCGTAATTTACAAAGATAAGGACATCTAATACAAAGAAAAATGACCCCCAATACAAACAAAAATGAACCTTGGAGGAGTAAATGTAGTCATTATCCTTGTAACCAAGTTGGTGGTTACAGCATTTAGGATTCGTATTATACTAAAATGGACATACTCGTTCCATTACATTGTAAAAGTAATCATTAATCTCGTAATACCATCATTTACAATAACAAGGAACTCTTGTATAAGAATAGGGTAAGCATGGACCTTGGTGGAATAAATTTGGTCCTTGCGCTTGTAAACATGGGGGGTTTACAACATATAGGACTTTGTTTATATTGATATGGACACATGGCTTCCATAAATGTATAAAAGGGATCCTTATACCTGTAATAGCGTAATTTACAAAGGAAATGACCCCCAATACAATGTTAAGGTAAGAATGAACCTTAGTAGAGTAAATTCAATCATTATCCTTGTAAACAAGGTGGTGGTTACAACATTAAGGATTTGTATTATACTAAAATGGATATACTTGTTCCATTACATTGTAAAAGTCATACTTAATCTCGTAATACTATAATTTACAAGGGAAATGACCCGCAATGCAATGTGAAGGTAAGAATGAACCTTGGAGGAGTAAATTGGGTCCTTGTCCTTGTAAGAACAAATAGTTGCAGCAATAAGCACGAACAGTACACTATTATGGACATAGGCATTCCACAAATTAGTAAACGATATCCTTACATTTGTGAATTACATTACTTGGGTTTTACGTAATGCGATGTGGTCATTTTTTTGTTAATATCCAAATATAAAGTAAAAAAATATTTTCTTTAGGTTTTGTGTGATTTGCACTAAAAGTCATTGTTTTTACTTTTAGGTACTTCAATCATGGAAAGGGAGAAAGATCGAACAGGAGACAGGAATTGCACACTGTAGTTTACCAATTACCAAACGGGCAGTAGGATTTCGCACATTTGAATTACAAATACATAGGTACTATTTGTCAATTGCCAAACAGAAGGCAGTAATTGCACATTGTAATGCAATTGGATTCCAGAAACAATAAATTACAGTCCCCCGATTTGGCAATTACTGTCACCCAATATGGTAAATCCACTGAGCACCTAAACATTGGAATGACCGTCATAACTTGCAATATTAACTTCATCAATTGTTCGTACATATGGTTACCCAACAAAGTTAACATATTAACTTCACCAAATTGCATTTTCACATCCTTTGTTACATTTTCACACCTTGTGCTAGTCATAATCTATAATATGGAAACCGAAAAAAGGACACCAAATAGGACATTTGACCTAGATATACAAAAAAAGGTGTCCTACCTAACCATGGTCACAAGCCTTTGAAAACCACTTTACAAAAAACAAACAAGTTGTCATGTTATACCATGGCGACCCTCCTTCCAAAAATATAGAGTATGCACCAAAACCAATACCATCACAGCATTAGATCTAAGCTCACAAAAATATATACTGGTCAGTCATTAGAGTGCCATGACCCAACCTTGTTAGCGGCACCGAGGTCTAGGCTGACCGCGGCCTGTACGTGTTTCTCATATAGTCATTGCTGATTTTTTTTGTTTCCGAATATAAACCCTCTTTCTTCTAACGGTGACATCCGCCACATCCTTGTCTTTAACCTCAACCTTACCAATCTTGTTCCCACTCATTTGATTCCATGCAAGGTCAAACTCCTCCAAAGATGTTAAATTTCCAATCGATTTTAGGATTGAACCCTTAAGTGAGTTAATCAACAAGTTGAGGTATCTCAAGCTTTTAAGATATCCCAAAGAATCAGGTAGTTTTCCTGTCAGACTGTTATGTGACAAATCCAAATTCTCTAGTTTAGTGAGATTGAACAACCAAGGAGGTATCGTGGAGGTGAATTTATTGTGAGAGAGATCAACTAGAAGGGATGTGAAATTGATGGAAGGAAGAGTGAGAGGAAGCATGGGAAGACTACAAGAAGGCAAATGCAGTTCATTTGCAGCAATCTTCTCCCACCCAAGACAAAAGCCTTCTGGAAGGATCCATGAGGCCTTGTTTGAGCTTGAGAAGGGCTTTCCTCTCTATATCTATGCATCCTACATTATGATCATCACTGCAAAAACCGAGTTTAATGGTTTCAAGGGATAAAATTCCTAACAGTATAATTAGTGAGACAAGGTGGATGGAAGCACCAGCACTGCTGTGACCCATGATTCTTAAGCAATGGGATGGTCTGTAGGACTAAAGATATGAGTACGCAAGATTAAGAAGTTCAGAGATGCCCTGTATATAGGAGTAAATGAAAATTCAAATGGTTGAGCTTTTGTACGCGTTGTAGCGAACACGCTATCAAGTTATTTTTTAACAAGAATACTGATAGAGTAGCCTTAATTCCTTAGTTGCCACATTTTCCACGACACCACTCAACTGACTCAAAGTTGGACTCCATCATGCGAATCTGATTGATTAGGGGTAGAATAGTCAATCTCTGCAGAAGTGGGGACAGTGTTGATCGGAGTCATGCGACCATCATGTGGAGGGGAGAGCCAGCTGTCAGACCAGATACAAGTATATATTCTCACCATTTATGATATGTATTCGACCTCTATCAATGACTGCCCTTTTTCCTTCCAAAAGACTTGTCCAAACCCATGAAGGTCTGGCTCCACCAACAACATTAGTGAAATCAACATCGGGAAAATAACGCCCTTTTAGCACTCGGGCCTAGAGAGCATTAGTTAAGGTTCATAATTTCCTCCTCTATTTGTTTTTGTGCGGTGAGTGTTCTTGAGTGTATTTGGGGCTTTGAGTTGTGAGGTTGCCAAACAATTTATAAACATCCTAATTTGTTGATAGTGGATGTGTTTGCACATGTTGCTCTAGGACATACCTCAGTTATACTTGTTGTGAGGAACTTCATTAAATCTTTTATTTTCGGACTCAAATGGATTGAAGCAATTGTTTCGTTAAGGCACAACAAAAGTATAAATTCATATTGCAATAACCAAATTACAAAATTGTAAAGGACAATTCTAAACTTTGCTTTATTTGCTTGCATACATATGCCTTCGCATGTGCAGCTTCTTCTATGCTCTAGGATCTTTTCTGCAAATAAGTACCAATGGCTGAGAAAAAATCAAGGACATCATCTTTCACTTTGTCAAGGAAGTGAAAATAGGCATGCCTCCAATACCTCTTCATGGCCGAAGTCCCAAAAACTCCCCAGAACCCTGCACCAAGCCTCCAAGCCTACACCACTCCCATCACTCCGTTGTGACCCATGCTATTTGCTGTTGAACTACAAAAATCATTACGAAATAGTATTTACAAATCAATATAACTGAAACAAACATATATTAGATTATACAAAGAATCTGCATAAAATAAGGACACCTAACTTTGTTATTACATTGGGAGAAAACCAAATAAAAATACAACGCAATCCATAGTACAATGATTTATGCAAATCAAATACTCGATGATTGTCATCATCCAAACATGTAAACCAACAAGTGAAATTATGAAAACACATACAAACAAGCTACAATCAATACTCATCATATCTCATTCTGAGGTTGTTTTGCATGTTTTCTCTCATGGATGACTTCAACAGAGGGAGCCAAAGTTGTATCAACAGTTGCAAATCCTTTCACATTGTCATCTTGCTCGTTGGGAGTTCCGTCTTCTTTGTTTGGCCTACTTTTTGGAGATTTAGTATTTCCAAGGTCTTCTTGTTCCCCATCACACCCCATATCAAACATGTTATCATCTTCCTTATTCAGTTTAACTTCCTGTTCATGAGGGCATGGGGTGCGCAATGTTCTTTCTTTCTCTTTATTTTTTGATGATAACTCATACGAGCAACAATGGCTACCAAAGTTGCCACATCCTTTCTTATTGAACTTAACTCTTTGGCAAAGTGAGTCATTGTTTTGGCATCATCTCCGAGACCTCCATATTCAGTTTTCATAACAACTACCTTATCACTTTCAAACCCCCCCCCCTCTTTTTGTAGCCACTTCTTCATTTTTTTCAGTCTCTACTTTTCCCTACACAGTGAGTGGTAGCACAGACCTATATCCACAAGTACGCTACCATGAGCTATAGCATCAAGGTAAAACAATTGATGGAATAACAAGCAACCACCGATGTAAACTTGATTGTTCTCCTTCAATGACCTAACACTATCTAATAAAAATTTGAATGAATAACTTGCCCAATTTTTCCTTGCTATTGCCTTGCTATCTCTTAACGGAAGTAGATATTTTAGATTCACATACACGGAAGTGGTTGGACATAGCAATGTGCATAGAGAAAACATGACAAAACCAACTTTGAAAAAGTCACCTGCTTCATCTATCCCCACCATTATCTGCTTCAACTCATTATTTTTTAAAAGCTTCTTCCCACCCAAAAAAGAATTTCGCACCTTTACAATGTGTTGGTCATCCATGGATCCGGTGAAGTCAACTTCCTCTCCTCCATCCTTAACACCCATTATGCGAACAAAGTCATCCACAGATATCTTAAGTGTTTTCCCGTGTAGCACGATTGATGATTCAGCATGATTCAATTTATCAACCAAAAAACAACACATTGAATGAGATAGTTTTCCGCACTTCATTCCCAACAACGAAACAAATCCCATTTCTTTAATGGCTGCTTTTTTTTCATCGCTTAAAACATTTATAGTGTCCTTTATATCCTTCGGACTGCATCGTGTGGCTATCTTCAAACAAGTCTTGTTCGAGGCGTTCGTTGAAGGTGTTTTAGATTCATGCTCTGCTTTCTGAGTAGCATCCAACTTTTGCCACATATTAGCGATTTCCTTCTTCGTCTGAGGAAGAAAATAATAAAATTCAATCAATTTATTATAAGTTGTGAGCTGTAACGTCTCCATTTAAATGTAGTGTTTACAATTTATCACATTCGTATCCACTTTCTACACTATTTTTTGTTCCTTCATTTCATCGCCCTTTATTTTCCTATTTAAAACATTCACATTTAGTTAGTCCTATAAAAAGTACTTAATATACTGGAAGAGCTATTTAACACTTACAGAAAGTTAAAAAAACATGTCAACTCATATCAAGGGGAAAATAATATTTCAACTCATATGCAATGGCCCAAGGAGATATGAAATTGCAGGACCCTTAGGCATTGCATGTTTGTGCTCCAATATATCTCCCATTCAACGTAATTCTCAAGCATCCAAAACAATCTCAATGCTTGTTCTCATGTTATCCACTTTCATGGAAATTTTACAATTTTTAATAATATGTGAACGAAATTAACTTCAACCCATTATTTTTTAAATCTTTCAATCCATTCCATAGTTTGAACATCCAAGAACACAACATATTAAACAAAACAAAAAGTAGTCTTATCAAATAAACAATCGAAAAATAACATGTCTCATATGTCAATTGTCAACCAGGTGCTATGAAACTGCATTACCCCTAGGCAATTGCATTTTCGTGCTATAATATATTACCTTCTACATATCCAATATGATTATGAGGCATCACGAAACACTTTTAATGGTTGTTCTTAGCCTACTGACTCTAATGACTATTTTACAATTTGTAATAAGGTTACCCACCCACAGAAATGAAATTCATATTACGTTTTCAAAAATAAACTTAAAGAGGTGAGGTTAGGGTTTAGCAAAACACAAGTCATATTACGCAATACTAATTTTACAAAAGGTTAGGGTTTATCAAGAGATAAAATGAGATTCTTCAATACTACCCTTACAAAACTTCAAACTAAGTGCTTTAAACCTTAAGTAAATAGCTACCAATCAATGGAGGAATCTTCACCACATAACATATGTCAACTCATATGCAATTGCCAAATCATAGAAACAAATTGCATGAACCCTATATAATTCCATTTTAGTCAGTCATACTGAATAAACTAAAATAATAACATGTCTACTCATATTCCAATTATCAAACGGACTTTTATTGAACCATATACGAAATTACATTCTCGCCATTCATATCAAACAAATTCAATTGGAAAGTAATATGCCAACACATATGCCAATTGACAAACAGAAAGCTATGAATTGCATGACCCCTATGCAATTGCATTTTCGTGCTCCAATAAATCATCTTCTATACATCCAATTCTTATGCATAATTTTACAATGCTTGTTCTCTGTATAAAATATAAAATTACAATGCTACTAAATTTCATTCAAATTTTACAATATAGAATAAGGTTACCCACCCACACATATTCAATTCATATTTGGTACAAAACTTAGTTGAGATTAAGGTTTACCCATAAACAGAAATTAACTTAAAAATTCTTGAGATTAGTTAGGGCTTAGCAAGAGAGAGATGAGATTAAGGTTTACCCATAAACATAATTAACTTAAAAAAGAGGTGAGGTGAGTTAGGGCTTAGCAAGAGATAATTGAGATTGCTTAATACTAACCTTAGAAAGCTTCAAATCAACTGATACCCAATGTTTTAACCCTTAGGAAACAACTGACAATCATTGCAGGAGATACCAATGGAGGAGATCGCAATATTCAGTAATAGAGCTTTTTGGGTTTTGAAGAGCAGCGCGCTAAAATATTCAGCAGTAAAGCTTTCTGGGTTTTGGAGAGCAGCGCGCTAAAATATCACATAACAAACTGATTACCTCCACCTGTTATAGCAAGTTTTCTTTTAATTTTTTTACAACTCAATTGGCATGTGCACTGCACATGCTTCATAAAGAACAAATGAGGCATGGGTGCACCTGGTGCACCGTAAAAGGTCGGTAAAGACCACTAAGGTTTGGCCTATCTGCAGAGACAGAGCATGTCTATTTTTGTTGGTTTCTAATAATTTTTTCCAATTGGATTGGCAGAGGCTTTGGTGGCCCAAAGAAATGGTGACTCAACAAAGACTTGGGGAATTAAAAGGCCAGAGGATTTAATTTATAGGGGTAATAGTTTTTAGATGAAGGGAACATAAAAGAAGGAAGATTAGTATTATGAGTTGCAAGATTGTGTTGTTTGTTCTTCCAAATTTCTATGGGGGTTAAAAGGGTTTAGTGTAGGGGTGGGCATGGGTAGTGTTAGGTCAATTTTAGTCCCAATCTGATATATAGTTTTTTTATGAATTATTGGACTCAAAATCCGCTCATTATTAGGCCAACTCAACTCAACTCAAATTTTTTGTAATAGGGTTTGGCGTTGGTCAAGTTAACTCAAAATTAAGCATGCTTTTAAATTTTGGCTTCAACACATACATAGCGGTTTATGATTTTTTAAACTTAAGACTTGCTCATTTTTAGGCCAACTCAACCCACTATGATCGGGTTGGATGATTCAGTCGGATTAACTCAAAATAAAATTTACTTTAAATTTTGGTTCCAACCCATACATAGCGGTTTATTATTTTTTTAACTCATGTCCCGCTTATTTTTAGACCAACCCAACCCACTATGATCGAATTAGGCAGTTTAGTTTGATTCACCTGAAATTGTGCCCATCCCTAATTTAGGGCGAGGCTAATCAATTTCTGGTTCTTTAAAAGGAATGTCACATGATTTGCACATCGTCACGTTTATAGGATAATTTTTTCAATTTTGAGGGAAAAAAAAATACTTTTGAAGTAGGCTTAATTATGTACATACCCCCTGTGCTTTTAAGTTTATCTCAGATTACCACATGTGGTGGAAAACGTCTCAAAGTACCCCCCAACGTATAAATAACCGTCTCAATTTACCCCCTCCGTCAAATTTTTTGACGGTCCGTTACGAACAGTGGGCCCCACTTCGTTTTAACCTTTAAGCTGTTCGAATAAGGGTTTCTCAGTTTGTAACAAAGGGGAAATTGGGTTTAGGGTTCATTGGAGAAGAGGGTTGTTGTCAAAATCTGAGGTTTCCTTCGATTTTGGGAGAATTTGGAGAAGAAATCATTGTTTGTAAAACTCTGAGGTGGAGTTTGAAATTGGAAGATTGTGGAGTAGAAGATTTGGGATGATGGAAACAGGAGAGAACCAAGGAGAGGGACGGCATGGCCAATGGTGTCATTGTGGGAAGTTAGCACGGATGTAGACTTCTTGGACCAGTTCAAACCCAGGGCGAAGATTTCTAGTATGCCCAAAGTCAAAGGTAAGCATGTTTAAGATAAAATTTTCAGTCATTGTTTTGGGCATCACAAATTGATAGAGTTGTTAGTGATGAAATTGTCAGTGATTGATGAAATTTTCAGTCATTTTACCACCCAAATTTTCAGTCATTGTTCTTGGTTGATACAGGGAATGGGAGAAAAAGGATGTAGGTTTTTTCAAAGATTCGAGCAAAGTCAAAAATATTGTGGGCTGCTATGTTGCTTTCCTGGTTGGTGGTGTTTGCCATGAAGATGAATTAGGCACTTTGGCAGTAGTTCAGTAGGCATTGTAATTTGATACCTGATGTTAATGTTAATGTAATGTAAGGCATTTTGGCAGTAGTTAAGCACTTTGGTAGTAGTTTAATGGGCAAATTTAATTTGAGAACAAATGCTAATCTAATGTAAGACACTTTGGCAATGTTATGTAATGTCATTTGGTGTAATGTAATGTAATGCTAGTTAAGTTTGTTCATTGTAATTTGTTTAGGGGTTACAAATTGTGACATGAATGGTAAGTTGTTTAAAGGTTACAAATGGTGACATGAATGTAATGCTACTTAGTTAAGTAATGTAATGCTAGTTAAGTTTGATCTGTGATATGAATGGTAAATTGAATGGTAATTTCTTGATGAATCTAGAAGAAGATAACCAAAATTCAGTTTTCCCTAAAAAAGCAGGACCTGCCTTCTTTGCCAAAGTTTATGGTGGATATGTAGCCTTTGGTAACATGCCAAAGTTTACTGGAATCTGGAAAGCAAGAGGCAAAGCCCAAAACTAGCAAAAGCACCTGTCATTATAAGCACAAACCAAAACAGAACAGGTTCCAAGCACAAACCAAAACAGAACAGGTTCCAAAACAAAACACAAACCAAAACAGGTTCCAACCATAACAGCCTTATGAATATATGCACAAACCAAAACAGGTTCCAAAACAAATTCCAACCATAACAACCTTAGGAAATATGCACAAACCAAAATAGGTTCCAAAATATGTTCCAACCATAACATACATCAAATATTCAGGTTCCAAAACAGGTCCAACCATAATAGGTTCCAACCATAACATACATCAAATATTCAAACCATAACATACATCAAATATTTAGATTCCAAAACAGGTCCAACCATAATAGGTTCCAAACATAACAGACATCAAATATACAGGTTCCAACCATAACAGACATCAATAATCCCACAAACCAACAACCATGTCTGGACCATTAAAGTCTTCCACAACATTCAAGGATGAAAAAAAGGATCTTTGACAAAATGGCTCCTCTGTTGATCTTTCATCCTTGTTGTACTCGAGATAATTTGGCAGGTTCAGGTGCTTGAGATGGCTGGGATTGAAAAGCATCAGCTACTTCATATGGCTGAGATTGAAAAGCATAAGCTGCTTCAGATGGCTGAGATTGAAAAGCATCAGCTGCTTCAGATGGTTGGGATAGAGAAGCAGCAGCTACTTGAGATGCCTGGGATTGAGAAGGCCCTTGGGAAGTGCTTGAGTGTTTCCTTTGCCTTAATTGCATACTCTGTTGTCCGCTACTTTGGTCTCCACCATCTCTCCTTCTTACCTCAAACAAATAATAATTAGAAGTTTCCGTGATATAAAATTTTGATGAGTGAAAACATAGTTGAAACCGTGGCACTTACTGCAAGTTTGTCCTTGGAAATGTTCCTCTTCCTAGTAGGCTTTATGTTGGGATTTCTAGGTTCCTAATAACCAAAGTCATCAAGTCAGAAACCAAATCAAATACATTTAAATGTAAAGCAATAATTCTAAAAACCACATACCTTACAACTACTTCGATTATGCCCTTCTCCACCGCAATTGCCACACTTTAAAGGGATGCCATACCTAGGAAGCTTATATGGATTAGCAGGTTGTTTAGGTTCTTCAACAGCTTGTTTTCTTGTCTTCTTAGGCCTACCAGGCTGCTTGTGGTATTTCGAAGGGAGTAATGGAGGTAAATTAACCTTCATCCACTGATCTTGGTTAGTCATAGGCATAATCATTGGTTCATAGGCTCTCAAATAAGCCTCGTTCTTGTACACTGCATCACAAAAGTCCTCTGGATTCCCATGAAACCAACTTATTGCAGCACATGCATGCAAACATGGTATTCCATTCAAATCCCAAGCATGGCATGAACAAGAGTGGGCATTCAAATCAACAGCAAAGGTGCGGCCATTATGGTGCATTACTTCAAACTGATTCTGTCCAGCAGCCTTAGGAATGCACCACTGAGCTTTTCCTTTGTTTTTCTCTAATATCTTTCTAATTCTTGGCCCAACTTGTCCATGTCATTTCTCACAGAAAACCCTTCTTCCCGCCATCAACAACATTATATACAACCGAATTCTTTCTAGCATAGTCAGAATAGGCTTGTCTCGGGCATCCATTATACTACAGTTGAATGCCTCACATAGATTGTTCATAAGCATGTCACACTTGGAATCACTCTTGAAATATGCCCTACTCCAATGCCTAGGATCTTTCTCTATGAGCCAATCATGTGCAGGTTTAGACAACTGCAACATCTTTGTCATCTCTGCATGAAACCATGGCACTGTTGTGGCTCTAGCAATTGCTTCCATTTGATGTTTCAAGGCAAGACCTCTATGTTCCAAATAGAAGTTCCCATATAGATGTTTCAAACAATGTCTATGCTCTGCATGAGGGAATAGAGCATCCACAGCATCTATTAACCCTTTTTGTTTGTCAGTCATAAATACATAACCATGGCTATTCGTAATATTGAGATCACCACTCAATAATTCTAAAAACCACAGCCATGTTGAATTGCTCTCAATCTCTACATATGCATAAGCAAGTGGAAACATTCCGTTGTTTGCATCAACTCCCATTGCAGAAAGCACTTGCCCAGGGTGAGGCCCTTTGACATGACACCCATCCAAGCAAACCACAGGCCTACAACCATCTAAAAACCCCTTCTTGCAGGCTGTAAGAGAGATGTAAATTCTTTGAAACCGTGGCCTATCACCTTCCATTTCAGATTTAATGATAACTGTACTTCCTACATTCCTAATTCTTAACTCATGACAATATTCCCACAATACTTCATATTGTTTACTGTAAGACCCCTCTACAATGTCAACTGCCATGGCTCTTGCTCTGTACACAGTTGATCTAAATGGTGTGTAACCATAGTCTTGGTGAACTGGCTCTACAAAAGAAGAAGCAGTCCAATTTAGATTGAGCCTTAACTGCCCAGAATATCTTTCAGCCAACCAGCCAGCAGTATAATGTATATTTTTAGTCCCCTTGCTACAAACATGTGTAGAATTAAAGGTTTTCACCTGCAGGTAAGTGCTACCACTAACACTTGAAGCATGGATAACAAAAGGACAGCCCTCTTCACATACTACTCTTATTTTGTTACGGTCATTATTCATAAAAATCAACTCCCTTCCACAATTAATGGAGTATATCCTCACAACTTTTCTAAACAACTCGGCAGTTGCAAACCTTAAACCTATTTTGAAACTTGGGCTTCCCATATCAATTTCACATCTGAAATCTTCACCTTTTGGCATCCTATTCTTCTTCCTTCTTACTTCACCCATTGCATCATCTTCACTTTGTGAACTATTTGGGCAGGTAAGTGTAGGTGACTCTTCTCCATTGTCTGACTCATCATTTTGCTCTGCATTAGGATCATTGTCAAAAATACTATGATCCACATAACCTTCAAACCACTTATCATCATTCTTCAATAAGTCAATCTCTTCATCACTCTGTGCATAGTCACTGTCTTCAAAGTTTGGATCACTGCTATCATCATTCTCAGAACAAGAATATTCTTTATCACTGCTATCATTCCCCACTTGGCTTGAAGTCAAGCTCACTACCTTCAAGTACAAAACTACCACCCTGCTATTGCTTTTAGGTACCATGCTCATACAAGCTAAAAGTGTACTATCAGATATTATTTGAATGAGTCTACTAGTTCCAAACTCTTCACCATAAAAACTCACATCATACCCATCGTCATATCCCAAATCTTTAGCCATTCCAAATAGCTCTAACATGGACATATAGTTAACCTCACAGTAATCAAACCAACTGACTTCACCACCCAAATAAGACCACTGACTGTCCTTTCTATTTTTCACTAGTTTACCTCCATGGAAAAACTTAAATGTGACAACCTCATCAGCATCTTTATCTGCGTAACAGGAACATTCACTTAACAAATGGAAAAAAACACACAAAGAGAAAAGAAGGACCACACAAGGATAATACAAGGAACACCCAAGGACCACATAAGGTATATTGGGGCCAGCACAGAATAAAAAAATATATGAAAGAACAAAAAAATTTCCAGCAACACACCACACTAGGAACATGCAAGGACCACACAATGATCACACCAGAACCAGCAGAGTCAAAAAGTATACAAAAAACAAAAACAAAATCCTAACAACAGTTCAATGCACATGCCAAAATCAAGAAAATCGAGTAACAATGGGTCCACTTACATATGGGTTGACAACCTCCAGATTCTCTAAGCACCACCATCTTCGCACCTTCTAGCCTTAAAGTCTAACGCCAAACAATGATTTCTTCTCCAAATTCTCCCAAAATCGAAGGAACCCTCAGATTTTGACAACAACCCTCTTCTCCAATGAACCCTAAACCCAATTTCCCCTTTGTTACAAACTGAGAAACCCTTATTCGAACAGCTTAAAGGTTAAAACGAAGTGGGGCCCACTGTTCGTAACGGACCGTCAAAAAATTTGACGGAGGGGGTAAATTGAGACGGTTATTTATACGTTGGGGGGTACTTTGAGACGTTTTCCACCACAGGTGGTAATCTGAGATAAACTTAAAAGCACAGGGGGCATGTACATAATTAAGCCTTTGAAGTATTAAAAAGTATTTTAAAAAATTAAAAAGAAAACAACTCAATACCCATCATCCCCTTCAGTGAAGGGCCTTCACCTATCAGGATAATTTTTTCATTTTTCAGAATATATATACCTTTGATCTATTCAGAAAACAATAAAAAATAAAAACCTAAGACTCATCATCCCCTTCCCTCTCTCTATCTCTCTCACACACACACTAGCCGACCTAAATAAAGGGGGAGAACAAGGATTTCTTGCTTTGATAATCTTGGGTTTAGGAAAAAATCAAATCTTTTTCAGTGGTCATGCCGTATCTTGTTCGTGAGAATCTATTCATCGGCAACATCGGCGATGCAGCAGAGGTTCTCCAAAATGGCAGCACAGAGATCACACACATTCTCTCAGTTCTGAGTTCTGCATCAATCTCGTTTTTCTCCGAATGGAAGAAGGGTCTTACAATTCCCACTAAGGAAATCAAGAAGGTGTATACTGGCGGGTCTGTTGGTGGGTCGGCTTCTGTGGACGATTCTGGTGATGGGTCGAAAAGTTGTTTGCTCTCGGATAAGCTTTTGTACTTGTTGGAATATGCAGGCAAGGATTTGAAGCTGGTGAGAATGGGGGTTCCGCTGAGAGATATGGAGAATGAGAATTTATTGGATTATTTGGATGTCTGTTTGGATTTTATTGATAAGAGTAGAAAAGAGGGGTCTGTTTTGGTGCATTGCTTTGCTGGTGTTTCCAGAAGGTACATATTGTTCTCTCAGTTTTATAATTTTCAGTTTTTAGAATAACATGAGTCTACTAATAATGTCGAAAGTATACGGAGCTTACATTCTGAAAGCTTTTCCAGTTTTCTGAATTGTCAAGTTTAAAGGGTTTACACCCTTGTTTGTTTGCATGTGTTTGTTGCAGTGCAGCTATCATTACAGCATATCTGATGAGAACAGAACATTTATCACAACAAGGTGTGAAAAATCATTGCTTGTTTTAAGTATCGCGAGTGTTCGTATATAAATTCACGTTGCTGCTTTTCTTTCTTCTTCAGTTTAGACAAAAATTATTTTCACAAGCTTGTATGACTTTAAAAATGGGAGATGATTTTGACACTCCAAATGTCAGCTCCCACACTCCTCTACTCTCTCACACAAAAGGAGTGCATCAGCTTTTTTTAGGCTGATTTTGGAACCCTCATATAGTCCTCTTGTGTGAGAGAGTAGAGGAGTGTGGGAGATGTTGGAGTGCCAAAATCATCACCCTTCAAAATATATGAGCAATTGAATTGAAAAAAAAAAGAATAGTGGGTTACAAATGCTTAACTGCTTTAGTCTTTTTCTTCCTCTTATGCAATCCTCCAGATGCACTAGGATCCCTGAGGCAAAGCTGTGAGTTTGTTTGCCCCAATGATGGTTTTCTAGATCAGGTGATGCAATGCGCTCTTATATCACATCTTGTACAAGATAACATTAATTTCTGTTAATCCAGCCCATAGTGAATTTTACTCCTTACTTTTATGGTGTTGCAGCTCAAAATGTACGAGGAAATGGGCTTCAAGGTTGATCATGCCAGCCCCATATATAAGTCTTTTCGCCTGAAAGTATTGGGTACAAGTTTTTTTTTCTTCTACATCTTCCCCTCCCTCTAAATTTAGGGGTATTGATTGTACATCTTGCATTCATGCTTTCATATTTTAGTTTTCCAAGTTTTGGTAATAGAATACTGTATGAAAAGTTCATTGATAGGAAGGCATTAAGGAGCATTGGCTTACCAAATTGGTTGTATATCATCGAACTAGAATGTTTTTTTGACAAGTGTGAGGGTTGGAATTCTTTCGGATTGAGCATGGAGACACTGCTGGGTTATGAGAAATCCCTAAGAGAAGGCTTCCAAGGTTCTAGATTGAACTCAAAAATGCCAAAGGTTTAGAACTCCATAAACAAGTTTGTCCCAATTTAGTTCACTCTATTTATTAATGTAAGAATCTCCAGAAAACCCTAATTCAGTTGAATTGTAGACCTTAAAATAAAAATAATCTCACCTGTCAAATTAGCTTCGGGAAACTAACACAAAAAACTGCTACAATGGTGCTACTGTATCCATGAACCATACCTCTGATCTTTTAATTTTTTAATTGTGTGCCGTTCTCCTCTACCATACATAACATTTTGGCCCTGTTTCGTTCACGGAATGGATTTGAGGGGAAATCATTTCCCATGTCATTTCCCAAGGAATGGGAATGAAAGATTCCTTTCCCACGTTTGGTAATGTCGGGAAAGTAATCGTGAGATTTCACTTTGTTTCCTTTCCCATGTTTGTTTTGAGTAGGAATGAAAAACAAAGTTTGTATAATTTTCCAATTATACCCATATTAAATCAAATAAAAAAAAGAATGCATTTAATACGTTGTAATTATAAATTTTTCATAGGGACAAAATAGTCATGAAAATTGTGCATTGAATGTTGGCTCATTTTCCCAAACTTTCCCATGAGGAGGGAAAACAAAACCCAAGTTAAGAGGAGGGCTTCACTTTCCCCCCTACTTTCCCATGTGCCATGCAACCATTTCTCATGTCTAGACTTAGAAAGCAATTGAATTCTCATTCCCAAGCCTCCTTTCCCTTGAACCAAACGGGGCCTTTAGGAGAAGAGAAAAAGAAATGCTTACCAGAACAGCAGTGACAATTGTGGAAGGTGTAGCAATTGCATGGCAATGTTCTTGATGTATATTACTATGTGAAAAGTTATTTGGCTCAGCATAGTAGATATTATAATATATGCCTACGCATTTCACTGGAGGTTTCAAATTGAGTGGCAAATGTGAATTTCTGTTTTCACTGCTTTAATAGATATATTTTATCCCATTCTTTCAGGCGAATCTTATCATCGTGGGGATAAAATAGACAGTTCTAAATTTGGGGCAGATCCTGGGTTGCCTATTGAAGTTGCCTCTGGAGTAGAATCAGCTCAAAATGGAGGAAAAACTGGTACACCAGCTTTCCGCTGCAAGAAATGCCGAAGAGTTGTTGCATTGCAGGACAATGTTGTGGATCACATTCCAGGAGAGGGTGAAAAATCGTTTGAGTGGCGAAAGCGAAAAAGTAGCAACTTGTCTGAGGATTCTGAATGTTCATCCATTTTTGTTGAGCCTCTAAGGTGGATGACAGCAGGTAACTGTGCAATATTTATAACTGTATGGCTTACCTTTTCCATAGCAGTAATAGCTAATCATGCTGAAGACCTCTCTTGTCAAAAGGGATTCCTTGAGTTGTTTCATTTTATTGTTATATACTAAATGCTAACAGTTGTTTAACTGGGATATTATGTGATCAAATAGTCACCTGAGATTACATGTCAACTGCAAATTGATTTTTCTTACTGACCAATTGTTCCAGTGTGTGGTATTATGAATAATGAAAAAAGTTTCGAATATGGATTTTGACACTCAGACAGGATCCACATCCTTTTCACATTCCTATTTCTGAACCTATATGGCATTTCTTGATGTTTTCCTTTTCTTTATTTTTCTTAAGCTTATTTTGGTTTCCTTATACCTTAACTTAAACGAAGTAGAAGTTATTTCTTTTGGAGGCATCTTTTGTTTAATGTGATTTGTCTTAGAAACACGCAATAATTTAATCCTTCATATGTTCTCTCATTTCACAGTTGAAGAAGGAGCACTGGAGGGCAAGTTGTCATGTGCACATTGTGAAGCTCGATTGGGTTACTTCAATTGGTCAGGCATCCAATGCAGCTGCGGGAGTTGGATCACCCCCGCCTTCCAGCTTCATAGAAGCCGTGTGGACGTCAGCACTGTCTAATATTTGTCAAGGCAAGGCCTGGGTTGAGGCCCCATCAGGATAAAGGGTCCAAAACCCCTCTAAACGATCATTTCAAAGTCTCAGAATACTATTTAAGGTATAAAGTCTCCAAGACAATCAGCAACCATAGACAAAAAGGATGCTAAGTTTATGGAGTTTTTCGTACTGTCTACCCAGATCAAAATTGAGCATCCACAGTTATAGAGAAAATGCTGCCTTGATCTGTGTTATATGAGATTTCGGGGACCTGGGTTTTGTTTTTTCTCCTTCCAATGCGAACTTAGTTTAGGTGACTGAAAATGTTGTGTTGGAGGTATTTTGGCATGAACTGTTATGATTATAAACTGAGTTACTATGGAGATCGCATATACTGTATAAGGTCCTGTTACAACTATCCAGTTGCATAACAGGATAAGTTGTTATAGAAGTCAAGTTTTAACCATATAATATGAACAAAATCCCTAGATTGGGGAAGTAATTACTCTTTTCATATGTTATATATGAATTGGTATCCTTTTACATCGTTTCTAGTTTTATAAATGGACAGTTTACCAGGATTTACGAAGGGTATGCACATCTAAGAATCTAAGAGAATTTGGTTTAACCAAGTGATGGCAAAAGAAAACTAAAGACGCAAACCCTAAAGCGCTCTCTCTCTCTCTACTAGTCCCTTACCCTTCAGCGCCGCTTTTGGGGGGGAGGCGGTCTGCACCTCCTCCCCTCCCCTCCTCTTCCTCCTTTTTTCTCCTTCCCCCTTTTCTCTCCTCTTCCTCTCTCTTGTTTATCTCTCCTTGTTTCCCTCTTCCTTTTACTGTATCCTCCTCACCCTCTGGTGATTTTGCCTCACCCTCTGTGGTGACTTTGCTTGGGCTTTATGCTCATTTCCGGAGGTTCTTCGTCTATTGTTGTCGCTTATCGCCTGGTCTCCACCACAGATCTCCGCTCCTCGTGTTCACGGATGCCTCCTTTGCCAGTCTTACTTGGCGGCGTGTTCGGGTATGAGGATGCCTTTAAAGTGCAATATGCACTATTTACTTGGATTATGGGAGCGCATTTTGCGCGGGTGGCTTGTTCACCCCCATCTTCCATTCATACGTTTGGTTCGCTTTGTTACTAGAGACTCCCTCTTGGTGGCTGTGGATTTGCAATGGTGGTTCGGCTGCTTTGCTGTGGTTGGTGCGGCGGCAACTTGTTTTCAGTTTTAGGGTTGTTCAGGTTTGAAACTTTGCATGTGGGCCTTGCTTGTCTTACAGTTCTGTTTTGTAATCTTTTGGGCCTGCGTCTTGGGCTTCTACCTAGGTTGTTCAGCCTACAAACTCTTGTAATGTTTTTACATATTTAATGAAGGGTTTTTTGAAAAAAAAAAAAAAAAAAAAAAAAAAAATGAAGAGAAAAAGAAAAAAGAAAAAGGAACGTAAAAGCAAAGAATGACCGGCCTAGTCAAAAGGGGACTCCCATATATTTAAGAGTCCGAATGCAATATACTGCAACTGTACATCTCGGGTTTTCTTTCAAAGAGAATATGGACGCTTCCAAATTCCAATATGATGCAGACAATTCTACAGCCTCCTACTTTTGCATAAATCGAGTATAAATACATATCCCAAATGCCATAGCTACAAGGAAACTAAAGAGAGAAGGAAATAAAATAGTAATCCTTGACTAAGATACTGCAAATGCCTTAATGGATTTCTGAGAGCACATCATCATCTCCGGTCCTCTGAATGTGCAAATTTGTATTGCCACCCTTAGATATGGATGGATCTTCCATCCCTGAATTCAAAAATATTCAGGTTCGTCTTCACAGAACTATAGTTTTGGAATCAGTGAGCCTGCGCTTCAAGAAGGATGTTTGTAGCTACGTTGACATCATTTCTTGCCTGCACCAGTGCCTGTCTGGCAGAATTCCTATCAAAACCCATAGAAACCAGAGTCGCAATGGAGGCCTCCGTTGGCTCTGTGGCAGAAGCCAAGGCAGAGGGATAATTTCTCTGAAACCAAACAACGAAATTGATGATGTGGATGGAAATTTCAGATCAGACCAGTACATAATATGACAGTGCAAGTCCAAAGCCTATAGGGACAGGAATAAATATACACACTCCTATATATCAAGCTAAAGAAAAATTTTACAAATGTTTCTTTCCCTCCTCCCCCCCCCCCCCCCCCCCCCTTTTTTTTTTTTTTTGCGACTGTTTTTTCTAATTACTTGAGGCTCTTAACATTATTTCTTTTCTGCCATTCATTCCATGACGTCCTCAATAATCATACCAGTACCTACCTATTTATTTATTTCTTATTTTCCTGGATCAAGATTCTAGTTACTCTTTTGAACTTGCATATTACTCTCTTCATTGTACATAACCAGAACCATCGCAAATGAGACCCATCATCTCTTTGGTTAGTGCCACACCCACCTGGGCAAATTGTTTCATCCCTAATTCTTACTACCACCAATCCATCTTAAACATATTTGTCCCAACTACACTCATTTTGCCTGCATGTTTTTGCTGGCCAACATTCCATATAGGGTCCACAAATTTTTCCCTAACTTGATAAATGTTATATACACACCTATGTGCACACAAATCTGTATGCTAACTACATTCATCTACTCCTCTAAACCCAAGGGAAACATTCTGGTCGCTATCCCAGTTTGACTAAACTTGCATACAATATGCTACGTCTTGGTCCTGCATTGTCTAGACCCTTGAACAACCATGTTCTTCCCATAAAGTTAATATTTTGTTTAGAAAGCTTCCGTCATTCACAGATAATAGAGATTACTCAGTCAGGTGTCCATCTAACTTATATCTACAATTCAGAAAAATTATATGTACTAAAGTCAATCGCAGATCCAAAGCATTGAGGGAAAACAAAGAATTCTTACCTCTACTTGCCGAGCTGTGAATGGTGTTGCACTTCCCACAATATTTCTAGTTGGCGCTGCTGGCGGACTCCCCGTTGATGGCCAAGAAATCCGTGAAAAGAAAGAAGCAATGACTTCTGGGAACTGTAATATGAGAAGAGTCATCACAGCCATGAATTACAATAATTAAAAATCTCAATTGCAAAATCTGCAACTAAATTGACTCATATATGCTTAAGTAAACAGATTTGTAAATGCGAGAAATTAAGAGGGGGGAAAAGTATATTCAGCAGGCAGTCTTAATTACACTACTTTTCCCTACTAAAATTAACTCAGCAGAATACATGACCGAACCATATTGCACTTCTTTTTCCACTAAAAGTAACTTAGTAGAATGCATGACTCAATCAAATTCTATAAGTACATGTATCCATGCAGACAGAGACACACATGAAACGAGCACAAGCACATACACAGAAAAATGCCTTCTTCCTTAAAAGAGTGGAAAGTCTAAAAATATGGTTTTAAATTAGTTACATTGTATACAATGCACTACTAAGAATTGAAGCGAAAGTGATTCTGACTGAAACTGCTGTGTGATCTGTAACTGATATTAAAGTCCAAAATAAAGTATGTCCAGTTACTGAAAAAGCCACCATATTTCAGAGTGAGAAAGCGAAACTTTAATAGCGGCATTGGTAATATGGTTTATCAAACCCCCTTTGTTCAGGAAAAGAATTTATCTCAAATGACAGTTAAGTTAGGGACAGGACAGAGCACATAAATGAATGTGGGCACGGAGTGGCCTAGAATGTGAAAGCGCTGAAGAGCTCATAATTGAACACATTAAGAAAATTAGATGGAGACTTCCGTTTTTAGGTTTTTGTTATCCCTCTGGCAATACCCCCATCCCCTAGCCTCTTAGCAGATTTCCTCTTATATGGCCAACGCATAATCTTCTGTTATCTAAGAGGGTTCAGAGCGGTGAGGAAAACATTATTTACTGTTTGAACAGAATGTCAAGCTATTGACTGCATCAAATACAATGCAGAAAAAAACAAATGCATGGTTTCTTTTTTTGATTGGATTTTTAAGTGAACCTCAAACATCAGATTGAAAAATAACCTTTGCTTTGCGGATATGGAAGACATTTAGATGATATAAGGAACCACAAAGGATGCCGAATACCCCTGGTAAGATTGATCTTTTCCAGGATGATAAAAGAAGCTGCAAGAGAGAAACCAAAATTAAATTAAATGTACGGGGGAAGGAAAGAACAGCTATGTACTTGTCATGCAACATAGATGGTTAGATGGTATACTTTATCGCACACTTTTTACCTGTAGACCAGCTAGATATATGAAAGACTTATCTGAGAAGCGCACACCAAATACACGAAAGCGTGTTGAAACTGGAATGTCAAAGAAAAAGGGTACAAAAGATGCAAATATAAGACCATAAGGTCCTGACGTCACCAGATTTACTGCAGGATCTGCAAAAGACAAGTGATTTGACTCCAACTTTATCAGTGCAACACACAAATTAAAAAACAGAAAAAGAAAGAAACACCGAAACAGTCTGCAATATAATACTTGAACTGTACATAGTTTTCTGTAAATTCCCTACAAAAATGAAACTTGGTAGAAGGGCCAGTTCAGCTAAGCAACCACCAGTAGGAGCACTGAAGCTGCCACAGCTCACATCAAGACGCCATGATATTCAGAGTTGCAGTAACTATTGCATTAGAAAGGAAGACATCTATCTATTCATCATACCATGCTGTAAAATATAGAAGATTCCTTTTTTCCTAATTGGCATTCAACAACTTCATAAGGAGGTAAGGTTTGGCAAAGCAACAAACTGGCCACAGTGCAACTCCAGAAGACCTTTCTCCAAGGCCAAATTAGAGGACGGGTTTCCATTAGAGAGGATTACAGATTCCACAAACCTCAACAAACATCAGAAAAAGTGATGGGCAAGAAAAAGGTGAACTAGTCAAATATATGCAAGAGGTCTCGTAATAGAACTTGCCAGAATCATATCTTCGCTAATGATTAAGTTCTAAGAGGCTTGAGATTTTCCAGAAGATCAACGTAATGTCCAGTACAAAATAGGCCAGTGCATGCAAAAAAACAAGGTATAAGCGGCATAGAGACAGGGAAAGAAAAACCAAAAGGCAAGACAATAATGAAACATAAATTTACAACTAAGAAGAGTAAAAAAGAACTGAAGAAACAATCTGCACCTTAAGATATGCTAGAGCAAGGATCTCAAAGAGTAATGATACAGTCACAGAGAACAAAATAAACACCTGCACATACAAGAGGAAAAAAATAAAAAACAAATCACCTATTACATTCTTTTTCGTATTTTATATTGTTGAATGACAGAAGTAAGACAACATCAGTACTAAACGAACAAGTCATATACATATATATATATATATATATATATATATATATAGTTCCCTTCTATTGAGGGATCCCTCAAATAATTTTTTCAACGATCTAAACCATCTATTTTGTCTACATTCAAAGATAATCCTTGCAAAAAATTAGACAAATCGGAAACCGTTTCGTCATCCAATTGTGTCCTACAAAATCAAATAACATGGTGCTTCAAGAAAGCACTAAAATTTCAATAACTCAATTGAGTGGTCAAATGATATCGGATTCAAGTGATTTTTTGTAGAGATGATCTTTGAATGATTATCTAAAAAACAGATAGTTTGGATTAGTGAAATACAATGCAGAGTGGGCCCTACAAGGGTGTCCCTCAAATAAGCTTATTTGAGGGATCCTTCAATGGAAGCTCTCTGCATATATATAGGTTGGGGGTGGGGGCTAGGTGGGTGGAAGAGCAGACCCCCTTGCAATTTGAAAACAGCCTACTAATTTATCATGTCTATCTGCTTTAGTCCCCATGCAACACTAAGTAATCCAGGCCAAACCCCATAACTGACCAACAATGGTAAATGATATTTCTTAGAGGTACTAAATACAACTCCATGAATGAGCAAAAGGAATATCATTATCTTTTTGTTAGCACAATCATCGCCACTTAGGGTATGAAAGAAAATTTTGACACTAGGACATTGTCCCTTTTAACGATTATAGTTCTGTTACATCAGATGTGAGCCACAGATGATGAGAACAGTATCTAGTAGAGTTAGTTTAAGTGGCTACAATGATACAATGTGAACTTTTTTTTTTTTTTTTTTTTTGTTTGCTACGCATGTATGCAAGAAGAATATAACAATAATAATTAAATTGAGGAAAAATATTGGAAAGGTGAAAAATTTAGTGGGCCAGAAAGCAATATTGGAGGATATGAAAACATCCAACGTTATCATACCAGAAATCCCACTACCTGAAATTTAGTTATTGTAAGTTACTTAGTAGCAATTAAAGTAATTGGATTTCGTAATTCTAAACTTTTAAGATTATACAAGCATTTTGACAACCATAGCAAACCTTACTCAGAAACCTAAGTAAAGCAATTTATTCCACAAAAACTTAATTGGTAGTCTCTGTGCTGGAGCAGTAAGCACAGAGATAGCACACCAGAGGTGGAAATGGATATTGGTACTTGCCGTTGTAGCATGGCTTATGTGGAAGTGGAGATTATAGCAGTTCGCTGAAGAATGTGGCTGTGTTGCAACAAAATTATTGTTGGAGGTTTTCTGCATTTTTTGATGGTGTACAGATGGCAACTAGGAGCAGGGGGTAAGTAATAATGGCAGTAAGGTGGAAAGGACGAGTATAGTGGTTCTGGTACGAGCACTAGTGACAACAGCCCCCCAGACAAAATGTTACATATTACAATGTCAGGCAGAATTAAGAATAACTGAAGCAGTGTTCTCATTAATTTTGAATGATGATCTCGATAGTTTTAGTGGAATCCAAGAGGTGAAAAAGTAGTGCAGCCAGTGTAATAAAGGCCATATCCCTGTTGCAGTGTAATATAAACTGTCAAGTCACAAACTCAATTTTTGGAAACTTCCTTTCCTTCATTGTTTAATAGCCAGATTACAGTGAAGGTTATACACTAAGCACTGTTGGGCAGTGATGCTGATAATGGTCAAGTTGATAGTGCACTTGGACGTTCTGTTTCTTAAATGCTTTCTTTATTTTGTTGGAATAAAAAAATTGTTCAAAATGCCTCTTTCAAACAAGAACAGTATTTATTAACAAGTATCCAGACAGGCTTTATAACTTTTTATTTATTATGTAATCCAAATAAGAGCAAACTGGTCCCCTTCAGAAAATTCCAAGCATACCCTTCATATCTTTTATAACTCATCAATACTGATGAAATTCTTTAAGATTTTCAATAACATGACAAGACTCACAAGACAGTAAGTATGTCACCAGCTTAGTCCTATCTTTAGGTACAAGATATTTGTGATATAACATCTGAACCAGGTGTTCCAAATAAACATCAAAGGAGAAGTCATGAAGAGTTTAAGCTTGGTTACTCACCGAGTACTTATTGGAACCTATCTGTCTCTCAAAGACCCTGAAGTAATATAGCAGATACAGCCCAAACATCAGTTCTGGTGTAGATGAAAAGGCAAAAATTGACACAATTAACTTCCAAAGGCGAAACTTCCCAAATATATCCTGTCAAAAGACAAAAAGGGATTGGGTAAGAATTCATATAAGAGTTTCACTAATTAAAAAAGAAAGACATAATACAAATATAGGGAACTTTCTATCTGCAAGACATCACAGATTGCCATTGAGCACATAGACTATGCAATGAATCAGTTTGACCAAAGAGCATTGTGCATACTTGTCACGCACCTGCAATTTATATCATATAAATATAAGTGTGTTTCAACTGTGCAACACATATGCAAGACACCGCTGAACACCATGGATCATCTGATCATGCAGTCAACACAGTCAACAATTTTGTGAACATATATATAGCATAGTTTCGTTACTGCAGCATACGAGGAGTGTTCCAATGCCCAAATCAAATAATTTGTGCTTTCTTCTGTTTGGGGATTAAGTAAAGGTTGGTTTGGGGTTTAAGGCGCCCTAGAGTTTCTTCTACACCTTAATGTCATCAAATTAGTCAGGAAAAACTGCAAAAATGGCAGTGCTCCCATACTTCTTCCAAAAACCTCCACTCTACATAATCGTAAGCCTTTTCAAAATCAATCTTGAACACCAACCCTTCCTCCCATTTCTGCCTCATACGACCTCATTTGCTACAAGTACTGCATTAAAAATTTGTCTTTCTTTCTGAAAAACTCCCTGAGAATGAGAGATCGTGCTTCCCATAACCTCCCTTAAGCATGCTGCCAGAACTTTTGCCACCACCTTACATAAACGTGTCATTAGGCTTATAGGCCTAAAGTCCCTTATTTTCAAGGAATCTGTTTTTTTTTCTGGAACTAGACACATACAAGTTTCATTAGTCACTGCGTTAATGATCCCATTCTTGGAAAATTCCTCCATCACCTTCAAGATCTCACTTTTCAGCAAATCCCAGCATTCTGAAACAACAAAAATGAATGACTTATCCTTGCCACTATAAAATAATGTTTTTCTGAATCTTCATTGCTAGAGTACATCAGCTTCAGGAATTTTACAACTTCCTGTTCTATTTCCTCTTTATTACCTACTACTCCAGTCTTCTGCTTCCAATCTTTCTATAAAATTTATCTTCCTTCTTCCACTAGCTATCTCGTGAAAAACATTTAGTGTTTCCATCCTCATTTCTAGCTCATTTGACATTTCCTCTGTACCTCCATTTCACTTCTTCTTTGAAGGCCAACACTTCCACTTGAAATAGTAAAATATTCAAGATCAAATATAACCTCCATTCAAGCTAAACGTAAGAAGAAAAAAAAATGAACTCATGTGGCGAACCCCAGTTAAATCGATTAGGGCTTACTTCATTGCCGGTCTGGAAACCTTTGCCTACCTCTGAGATAAATACCCAACAATATCTCTCACAAGATTCATAGTTGACTATATTAATCACATTTCATATTTTGATTCGGGAATTTCACTAAAGAAGTAACCATACTGAAGAAATTGAACCATAAATAGGTTCTTAGGAGGGTATTCGTTGGACCAAGATTAATTAAACAAAGAACCATTTGATACTGGTTGGACCAGTTCCAAAAAAAAATTATCATCTTGATAGACATAAGTTTAATTCCAAAATCAAAACCAAACACTGGTAGGTTTCTTTGGGTTATATACTTTTAGTTTGGGTTACTATACAACTGAACTTTAGGCTGGTCAAGGTGAAATAAAATCCAACGAGTAACAGCCCTAATCAACCTAGGTTCCTCTAACATACAAGAAGACCTGCATGATAGGAGAGTTCAGGTGCAGTAATCATTGGAGATCTCCATGAGCTCTCGGATCCTTGAAATGTAACATTTTCCAATCTCCAGGTGGGAGAGTTCAACCAAAACTAAAGTTGTCTACAAAATCCCAATTCAACTCATCACCAAACATCTAGACAAATCTGGTTTTGTGATACTTTGAAAGTATATTCAACGGAGATAGTGAAGTAACGTAGGATCACAAAAGAATTCAAGCCAAGTATTCAAACCCTACTTGAAAGAAATCCAGAAATAGCAGGGCAAGGTAGTTTTAGGTTTACCACCTCATATTGAGTTTTCCAAACAGTAGAGTGAATAACCAAATACAAGTGTAATTGACAAGTGACAGGAATGGCTAACAGTGATTAGGAAAATAATGGTGCCACCCAATAGAAAAACTCAAACTAAAAATAAAGTACATACCAGTGAACAAAACGGTGAAATCACATGCAATCAATTCCATTTTAAGGTACCTCTACAGATGAGTAAAATCTATTTCCGATTCCCCCCTTCAACTTCAAGGGAAAAAAAACTGGGGCTTAACTACGCATTATGAGCCAAAAATTCCATGAT